GTCTCACAAAACCAAAAAAAAAAAAAAAAAAAAAAAAACGAGAGAGACCTGAGAGCCAGAAACGCCCCCGAGTTACCTACAGACAGTATCCTACTGCAAACGTCCCAGGACTTGGAAGGGAGGTTCTTGCTCCCTTCCAGGCCCCATTATGTCTGCCCTAGGGTCCTGGCGAGCTCTTTCTGCTCTTTCTCCCCTCTTCCCCGCGCCGCCTGTGTTGTGAGGCTGCCGTTCCTGACACGGCTCAGCTGAAGGGAAATTTGTATATCTCCATGAACCTTTCTTTTCACTCCGGCCCAGTCTCCTGTCCCTGTACTCTCTGTAGTAGTCAGCCATCTTCTCTGTGGATCTAGAGCAAGAGGCTGCCTCTGCTCATCTAGGCTCTGGCCACACACGAGACTGCAACTCCTACCCGAAGGCCTACCGCCTCTACACGGCCCTTGTTTGCCTTCCTCGCTTCCTGCGCCATTCAATTCAATTACCCGGGGTGGGTTTGGTCTTCCTGGCCAGCCCCTGCCGGATGCTTCTGAGCAAAGCGCCTTCTAGATCACACACCGCTCCCCGATTTTCTAAATTACTCACTCTGCTTTCACTCTGTGAAATACTATAGCCTAGCTGGTGGCTGCTGGTAACCCTGATCTCTGGGGGGAAACAGGAGCCTCGCTTTGTAACATTTGCCAGTTTCTGAGATGTAAATACTCCCACCACGGCCAATTTCAAACCATCAATCTGACACAGCTGAGCAGAGCTCCGGGAGGGGGTGGGAGAGACTGAGAAAGCTTCTGAAACAGAGCGTGAACATCCTGCCAGGAAGCTGCAGTTCTCAGGGCTCCCCAAACCAACCTCTATCAACATCACTGTAAAAAGAGCCACACAGTTCATCTCCACACTGGTCCTAGTGTCGCATGTCTGCATCCCAGTACGGCATCCCAGCTACTCAGGAAGCTGAGGTAGGAGAACCCACATCTGCTGGGAATGGTCTCTGGGGCTGAGGAAGGAGGCCTGCATGTTCAAGGTCAACCTGAGCTTTTACACAATGAGTTCAGGTCTCAAAACGACAAATAAAAATAAAACTTTACTTTTAGGTTTTTCTTATTCCCAAATATTTCTTAGGTGCTACGGAAGGAGGTGTGTGCCCTTTACCCATTCATATACTGAAGCTGCAACCCCCAGCGTGATATCTGGAGTTGGGGTGTAGGAAGTGAGGTTGAATAAGGTCATAAGGATAGGACCTGTGGTGGTTCCCATTAAAATGGCCTCCACAGACTCTTAGGAAGCGGCATTATTGGGGGTGTAACCTTGTTAGAGGAAGTGTGTCACAGGGGTAGGGCTTTGGGGTCTCAGAAGCTTACCCCAAGTCCAGTGTCTCTCCCTGTTGCCTGTGGATCCAGATGTAAAACTCTCAGCTACCTCTCCAGCACCATGTAGGCCTAGGTGCCATCATGCTTCCCACCACGACGATAATGGACTACATCTCTGAACTGTAAGCCAGCCCCAGTTAAATGTTTTCCTTTATAAGAGTTGCCATGGTCATGGAGTCTCTTCACAGCTATGCACTGACTAAGTCAGGCCCCCAGCCAACAGGGAGGAAGGCGCGCTCACTCCAGTCTGCCAGCATGCGCAGAGCTCCTGGCCCACACAGACAGCAGGACTCAAAGAGGACTCAGAATGAACCCACCCTGCCAGCATTTCCTAGTGCCCACACTCACACGTACACGCACACGCACACACACACACATCAGGAAAAACTCGAAAAATTTAAAAGGGGTTGGGACATAGCACAGTAGGCCCTGTATCAATCCCCTTCCCAACAACTAAACAACAAAATAAACAAGTAGCTATTTGCTTGTTACTGTTTTTCTTCAATGTTTATTGGCCCTTAGACACTGTTTCCTTCTGTGAAGAGTTCAGCGCATATCCACACTCTCCTGTTCTCACCATGACACTGTGAAGGAGACAGGAGCACAGCAGGCCACTTCACACTAGGAGGAGGGGCTCCTGCCGCACCACACACCCTACCAACTGACCTTCCTGGGTGGCAGCCACCACCACCTTCATTTTACAGATGAAAAAGGGACAAGGAAAGGCTAACCTGCCTGAAGCCAACAGCTGTGACAGGCCCGTGGTCACTCAGCGTCCTGCGGCCACTCGGCCACTCGAGCAACTCCCCCTCTTCTCAGAAGGAGGCCCAGGAGGGAAGTGGCTGCTGTCAACTGGAGGCCTGGAGGTCCACCCAGTCCCACACGTGCAGAGAGGCATCGCTTGCCGCTGACAACAAAGTTCTGGGTTTGCAAGGGTGCCAGGTGTGGGTGGTGACCAGAGGAGCAGCGTCCACCTCATTTCCCTCCAGGAAGATGTGGCCTTTGTGAGTGAAGAGAGGCTCCACTTGGCTTTCCTTTCCATCCCATGATGTGACGTCATAGATCTGCACTGTCCCATCAAAGCCTGGAGGACACAAAGGAGAGGAATGACCCTACATCCCTCTCTTTCCTGGGCAACTTCCTCTGACATGAGACACTCGGAGGCCACCCACGGAGAAAGCTACACCTGCAACAGTGGGGGTGTCCCCATGAGCAGCTGTGAATACCTGTCACCCACCCACAGAGTATTGGTCACATAGCTAGGCCTGAGGTGGATGCACGGTGTGTGTGTGTGTGTGTGTGTGTGTGTGTGTGTGTGTGTACGCATGTGTGACTGGCTGTAGGTCAGAGAGGCGAACCTTAAGCATCATTTTCCAGACAGTCCACCTTGTTTTTGTCACAGGTCTTTCCATTGGCCTGGAAACTCACCAGTTGGGCTGGGCTGGCCAGCCAATGAGCCCTAGAGCTGCCTGTCTGTCTCCCTGGTGCTGGAACTAGAAGAACATCCTTGTTGGGACTGCAGACCGCAGCCCCTTGACTTTCTTTGCCTGCCTCAGACCCTTTGCCTGCTGGAGTGAACTGGGCAAAACAACCTGTTTTCCTGTGCCTGCTGCTGCTCTGGGCACGAGACCCTCATGAGTTCCTGATGGCAGGGGAGTGGGTTCTGGTGGGTTTACAGCTGAAAATCCCAGGAGCTAGGGCATGGCTATCAGTTAAGGATCCCTATATAAGCTTCCCTGGAGCACAATAAAGTTGGCATTCTTGTTTCAAGGATGACCCATGTCCCCGTGTCTCTGTGTGTCTTTATGTGTTTAAATCTCCAGCCCTTTCCCAGCTCGCGCACCATCCTCCCGTAGTGCAGGCACTACACACACTATCACATCCAGCTTTTCCTCCTTCACCACCCCCATCCCCGTCTCTCTGTGAGACAGAGTCTATGTAGCCCTGGCTGACCAGGAGCACTCTATATAGACAAGGCTAGCTTCAAACGCACAGAGAACCACCTCCTCTGTCTCCCCAGTGCTGGGATTAAAGGTACGGGTGACCACAGTCGGCAGTGTCCAGGATTACATGGATTCTGGGGAATCAAGCTTAGAACCTCAAGCTCGCATGGCAGGCTTTACTGAGTTATGCCCAATGCCAACATGTGTTATCTTTAATCTTCATAACAGCATCTCCACAGGACATGGAGACAGAAGAAACTTTCAACCCTTTTCAATGCACTCCAAATTCCAACCCCTCCACCTCTGGGTCCTCAGCGGACAGCCTTGTCTCTAGTGTTGGGCCTCTTGTCCATCCGCTGAGGTCCAGCTGCCCCATCCCACACTGCTCTTTCCCGTTCTCTCTGGCACTGTTTCTTCTGGATCCTGAACTTCCCTTTGTGCCCTCAACAGTCCTTGCTCACTGGCTTCTAGATGGCCCCACGGAACACACCCTTGCAATGACAACCCCCAGGCTCCAGTGTGGCTTCAGTTAAGAACACAAGCAGAGGGCTGGAGAGATGGCTCAGTGGTTAAGAGCATTGCCTGCTCTTCCAAAGGTCCTGAGTTCAATTCCCAGCAACCACATGGTGGCTCACAACCATCTGTAAAGAGGTCTGGCGCCCTCTTCTGGCCTTCAGGCATACAGACAGAATATTGTATACATAATAAATAAATAAATATTAAAAAAAAAAAAAAACACACACACACACAAGCAGACCAGCAGCTTGTGGAGACGCTGCCACCCCTTTTGAGTGCAGCCTTGAGCTGTTCCGGGTCTTACTGTCTCTCAACACACCTGGACCTCTGCTAGGCTGGTAATGGCCACTGCTGGTTGGTGCAAGTTTGGTGGCCAGGGCGGGGAGCAACCTGCCTTTGAGGAGCCAGCCCAGAGACCAAAGCAATGCTAGGGGTAGGCAACCTGAACTTCTGCAGCCAGGTTAGGCACGGAGGTACAGATTCCTTCCCAAGCTACCAGCCCTGGGAAGAGCAGTGATATAACAGACACACCCTTCCCAACAGTACCTGAAATAGCCAAGCAGTTGTCCAGGCCTGGAGCCCAAGTCACTCGCAGCAGCTCTGGGTCAGGGCTGGGTTTGGACACGGGGCACTGGGCTGAGCTCACAGGGTGACAGAGGTTCCGGAAGTCAAGGAGACAGAGCTGCCCATCTGAGCCAAGGCTGGCGATGCAGGGCCCTGGGCCTTGCCCTTTGTTCCTAACGTCTGCACACCACCTCTCTCCACTAGAGCCAGGGCTGGGCCTGAGAGTCTCCAACGGTGCCCACTTCTGGCGGGTGTCCACAAGCCCCAGGCGACCTGAGGTGCCACAGAAAGCAAAGGTGTCCGCATCTAGAACCTGAAGGCTGCTCAACAACTCGCTGTCACTGGTACCTAGAAGATGGGGCAAAGAAAGAATGCTGGAGTCTGGCGGGCCGGACAATGTGGGCTGCGCCAGGCCCGGTCAGAGCAAGTCATGTTTACACCTCTGCTTTATCTTGCCAGTCTGCTCTACTGGGTGGGTGCTGAGCCCCGGAGGCCAGGGTTAGTACCGCACGCCCCAGCCCCAGGTTCCCCCGGCAGCTGGCAGAGGCCCTAGCCATGTCTCGGGGCTGAGCTGGCTGGAGGAGCCGGCAGGGGGCGCACTGCGGCAGTACCTGAGCTGTATGTGATCTTCTGGGATTCTATGTCCACAGTCCTCAGGCCACTGAGCCGAGTCCCGTGGAGGATTCCAGGTGCTGCAGAGGAGAAGACAGACACCCGAGGCCAGAGACTCTCCTCTCTGTCCTGCACATCAATGGTACGGACGGCTTCGATAACATCTGAAGGAAAGGGGAAGAGGCCAAAGCGCAGAGAATCAGTGGGGGCTGGCCAGAAACCCCTGACATTTAGAAGGGCAAGGCAGATGGGAGCTGAGACGGTGCTGAGATAACAACACTCGGGGTTTTGTTCACATTCTTGAACCTGCCAGCAGCGCTTTCACGTCTTCATGATCTGCCTTACGAACTATTTTTGCAAACGGGAGACAATGAGTCATTGTGGCCACCTTGAAAGCAAGCAGTTGACTTGTTTGGCAGAGAAAAGATGGAGGAAGGGAAGGAGCACTTGACTGATGTCAGTCACATCTCCAGGGAAAAGGAACAAGTTGAGTTCACGAACCAGCCCCCCTTCTTCCCGAACACGCTCTGGGAGCTCACGGCTGCCGGTGTTGCTGATGAAAATGAGAAGACAGGAGGACCTGCCTCTAAGACAGATTTGAAAAAGATGTACTCAGGTAGAATAAAATTTTAGTTTGGTTTTCATCTTTGCACATTAATTATTTTAGTATTGTATCTGTGCACATGTGTGGGGTCAGAGAAGAACTTGCAGGCATCACCTCTTTCCACCGAGAGGGTCCTGGGATTGAACTTAGACTGCCAGATGGTCAGGCGGGCAGCAAGCGCCTTTACCTGCGGAACCATCTTGCTGGACCTTTTTTTATTTTTTATTTTCCTTCTTTTTTTGAAACAGGGTCCTACTAGCCCAGGCTGGCCTTAACCTCTTGATTCTCTTGTCTCCATCTCCCACTGCTGGAATGGAATATAAATTTTAATTTTGTTTGGTTTCATCTCCGTAGTTTTACTTTGTCTCAGGCTGCTTGGTCTCTAGCTGTTTCTAGTCTCCGCATTCTACATCACTTGAAGCCTTTTTTATTTTTTTTTTCTTTAAGTTTTTGGAGATAGGTCTCATTATGTAGACCAGGCTGGCCTCAGACTCACAGAGATCTACCTGTCTCTGCCTCCCGAGTGCTGGGATTCATTTGGTGCTTCTCTTGATGGCACCTGTAACCATCTGGGACAAGACATTTGCTGCACAAGCTACTTAAAAGAGCAATTCTTGTTTTGTGTTTTCATTCTCCACAAAAGAACCCATTATTTCGCGCCCACGCTGTATGAAGATGAAGATCCCCGTGTGTCTCTAGTTTTAAGGACAGGCATTGGTCAGAACGGTGAGGGGTGGGGTACGAGAAGGGTATGACATGGCTGAACAGGAGTATGTGGCTGTGTGCTCCTTCAAACAGTCCCGGCACCGCGGGCACAGGGACATCTGGGCTCCCAGGGCCATGGCTCCCCCTATCGCATGGCATCTAGACTTCTCAACACAGGAGCAGACCCAACAGCTGGTCTCCAGGAAGCACCAAAAGGCTGCAGCTGAGGCCACTTCAGCAGAGCCTGCCTGGCTCTCCTGGGTCACACTTCCCTGACTCCCCTGAACTGGCTCCAAGGAGCCTGAAACCAATTCTCCAAGGACCTGCTGCTCTGAGCCAGGGGAGGGGTCTTAGCTGCAGAAGGAGAGACTATTTCTTAAACATATTATTATTATTATTATTATTATTATTATTATTATTATTATTATTATTATTTTCGAGACAGGGTTTCTCCGTAGCTTTTGGTTCCTGTCCTGGAACTAGCTCTTCTAGACCAGGTTGGCCTCGAACTCACAGAGATCCGCCTGCCTCTGCCTCCCGAGTGCTGGGATTAAACTCACTGGTTTACATAGTGAGTGCGCCACCACCGCCCAGCTAAGGAGAGACTATTTCAAAGATTCAGGAGGGGCTGGAATATAATCCAGTGTCCCAGAAACTGCCTGGCGCATCTGAGGCCTTGCACTCCCTTGCCATCCAGTATCATAGTAATTACACGCATACAGAAAACAAGAATCCAGCCTCTGGCCAGGCAGTGGTGGTGCACACTTTTAATCCCAGCACTTAGGAGGCAGAGACAGGCAAATTTCTGTGAGTTTTAGCCATTTGTGAGATGAGACCACCCTGGTTTATACAGTGAGTTCCAGCACAGGCTGGAATATAATTCTACGATTATATAGTAAGACCCTGTTTCCTACCCCGCCCCCACCAGAAAAAAACAAAAGCAAAACATCATCACCACACACACCGATAAGAAGAAAAATACCAAACTGGGATAAATGATTAGCAATGTATCTAATGAAGAATTTGAAAAAAAAAAAAAAAGAATTTGTATCCGGCACATACAAAGAACTTTATATCTCAATAAAAGCCAGCAAGTCGGTTGTTGGTGAGAGGCCGCCATTTCACTAAATCTATAGCTGGCTTCACAGCCACACAAGGGATGTCCAGGGCTGTTAGTGGAGAAATGCAAACGAGAGCTACAGTGACAGACAGCACCACACCCATTAGCACAGCCTTATAAAAACGGTGGGGTTAGGGACAAGCGCATATCTAGCAGGTGCCAGGTTTAATCCCTAGGCACAGAGACAGTGGCAAATGTTGGTCAGGCCATGGAAAATGGGAACTTTTGCACATCGCTAATGGGAACATCCATGAAACCATTTTGTAAAACTTATGTATGTGTCTATACGTACATGTTCCTGCATGAGTTATATGTACCATGTGTGTGCAGGTGCTCATGGAGGTCAGAGGGTGTCTGACCCCTGTGAACTGGAGCTACCTGACAAACAAATGTGCTGGTACCCAAACCCGGGTCCTCTGCAGGAGCAGGGAGAGATCTTAACCCTGAGCCGTCTCTCCAGTCTCAACCTTTCTTCCCTCCCTCCCTCCCTCCCTCCCTCCCTCCCTCCCTCCCTCCTTCCCTCTCCTTTCCTTTCCTTTCCTTTCCTTGGTTTTTCGAGACAGGGTTTCGCTGTGTAGCTTTGGCTGTCCTGGAACTAGTTCTGTAGACTAGGTTGGCAACTTTTAATTTCTTTTTCTTTTTTTTTTTGGTTTTTCGAGACAGGGTTTCTCTGTAGCTTTGGAGCCTGTCCTGGAACTCCCTTTGTAGACCAGGCTGGCCTCAAACTCACAGAGATCTGCCTGCCTCTGCCTCCCGAGTGCTGGGATTAAAGGTGTGCGCCACCACCGCCTGGCAACTTTTAATTTCTTAAAAAATGAAACAAAACCTCATAAATTTACCATATAATCCAGCAATATATGTCCATATCAATCAAGATTTGTACATTAGGGCTGGAACAGACAGACAAAATGTGTCATACCATCCAAGGGAACAGTATCAGCAATAAAAAAGGACTAAATACTGACGAATGCTATAATAAGGTAATCTTAAAGAGCACACGCTAAGGGACAGAGGCCAGGCACAAGAGAATCCATGAAAGGTTCCCCCATCAGACTTTCTTCAGAATAGGCAAATCTACTACAGAGAAAATATATTGATTGTCTGCGACAGGGTGTAGGAGTGAGATGAATAGTTAATGGCATAACAGATCTTATTGGGAGTGATAAAAATGTCCTAAAACTGATTTATAGCAATGGCTGTAAAACTTGGCAAATTTTCTTTAAAAATTATTGACCTATACAATCAATATGAATGAGTCTCATGTAGGTAAAATACACCTCAATAAAATCAAACAGCAGCAACACCAAAGGCCGCCACACGCATAGGGAAGCAACACAAGGAACTGGGAAGACCACGCAGACAAGCGACCAGGAGGTGCACAGGGGTGAGCCCAACAGCACCCCTCACGGGAGCAGCAGTGAGGCCTGAGAGAAGGGACAGACATTGTGCTGCCTGTGGGAAGCTCTGCCACAGTGTGGGGAGGCCCACTTCCTGTTGTGAGTGCTTCTTACTGGGGGGCGGAATGAATGGCTGGGTCAGTGAAAGGGGACGTGCTCTGGTGCCTGCCGGACAGGGACCTGCAGTCCCATGGCTATTCTCCACAAGGGGACTTCCTGCTCCTCTCCAAGTGCTGTGTCTTCCAGGCAGACTGCCAGTGAACCTTTGCTCACTTGCTATTTTCCTCCCCGAGAACGAGCAGACTTTAAAAAGAGGGACCTCATCAATGCCTCCTCCTCCTTGAGCTGAGTGCCCATCGTGGCCCTGCCCAGCTGAGAGGCCCTGGCTCTCTAGTGGCTCTGCCAGCAGCTGGGTTGTAAACTCCAGTCCTGGTGGAAGCTCAAGGAAGCTGGAGCGTTTGACCTGTCTGTCACACTGTGGACACTAACGCATCTGTGTGGTACAAAAACCAACAGAAACTGTGCTGTCCTGTCCTCTCCCTCAAGTGCTTCTTACTGGCTCAGCTTAAGGACCAGGGCTGTGTGAGCCGTTTTCCTAAAACCCCAGTGTCCCCAAGTGAGCGTCACTCACCATTGTCCTCTCCAGTCTGCCACACCTGCAAGTAACGCCCGGGAAGGCCACTGGTCACCAGCAACCTGTTCCAGAGACAGAAAACCTCAGTCCAGACAGAGGGACGCTTACCTTCACCCTGGCAGCCTTTCCCCTCCAGCCCACTCAGGATCCCTCATTCAACAGCCCAGCAGGCTCACCCTGCCTCAGGGACAGGCTCACACCTCAGAGAGAGCCACAGACCACGCCCAGGCTTTCACAGGTCATGCCGGTCACCTGGAGAGGACACACGTGGGGAGCCTGAACACACAGCCTTGACAGCTCTCTGAGAAGCTTCGGAGCACTTTCCACTCTGTATCTGGTCCTGGAGCAACCCCAGGGGACCTGGTGCCTCCACTACTCAAAATGGCTGCTGAGCCACTGGTTTCTTTTCTTTTCTTTTTTAAAGATTTATTTATTTATTATGTACACAGTGTTCAGCCTCCATGTATGCCTGAAGGCCAGAAGAGGGCGCCAGGTCCCACTACAGATGGTTGTGAGCCACCATGTGGGTTGCTGGGAATTGAACTCAGGACCTTCAGAAGAGCAGTCAGTGCTCTTAACCACTGAGCCATCTCTCCAGCCCTACTGGTTTCTTTTCATAAGCTAAACCTGTGTGCCCCGGCCCGATGTGCACCCACCTATGTCTGCAGACTGAGAAACAGGCACGGTGCTAAGAAGACAGAACACTGCTGAGCATTTCCTGTCATCCCCAAAGAATGGAAGGTCTGGGACACACACTGGCCGTACCTGGTATCTGGCACGTGCTTTAGGTCGAAGACAGATCTGTCTGAAAATCCTCCATGGCACACTTTAAAATCTCTCTCCGGGAATAAACCCTAAAACACAAAAGGGTGGGGGCAATCAGACAGTACCTGAATTTTTCTTTTCTTTCTTCTTCTTCTTCTTCTTCTTCTTCTTCTTCTTCTTCTTCTTCTTCTTCTTCTTCTTCTTCTTCTTCTTCTTTTTTTTTTTTTTGTTCTGCTTTTTTGAGGCAGGGTTTCTCTGTGTAGCCCTGGCTGTCCTGTAACTAACTCTGTAACCAGGCTGGTCTCAAACTCACAGAGATCTGCCTGCCTCTGCCTCTAGAATGCTGGGACTAAAGGTGTGTGCTACCACTACCCGGTTAGCTCACAATTTTCTATAACTCTTGTCCCGGGGCATCCAGCATCCTCTTCTGACCTCCAAGGATACCAGGTGTGCACGTGGTATTCAGACAGGCGTGTTGGCAAAACACTCATACACATAAGATAAATTTTTTTTTTAAATTAGGTATAGGGGCTTGAGAAGTTGCCCAGTGGTATAGCTTTTCCACAACACGAGCAAGGCCTCATAGCATTGTACACACCCAAAATAGATTAGGGGGCCATTAGAGTATATAAGTCAGTGGAAACCATATGGATGAAGGTGTGGGATCTGAGGATTAAGAGAAGACAGTAGGGACAGAACCTTAGGGAATGTATTTACATGATGCAGAGAAAGAGTCTTTGGAGCTGGAGGAAGAGGATGCGTGAGTGGCAGCTATATAAGTTCAAGGCCAGCCTAGTCTACAAGAGCTAGTTCCAAGACAGTCCAGGACAGGCTCCAAAGCTACAGAGAAATCGTCTTGAAAATCAAAAAAAGGACCGGGCAGTGGTGGCGCATGCCTTTAATCTCAGCACTCGGGAGGCAGAGGCAGGCGGATCTCTGTGAGTTCGAGACCAGCCTGGTCTACAAGAGGTAGTTTCAGGACAGGCTCCAAAACCACAGAGAAACCCTGTCTCGAAAAACCAAAAAAAAAAA